AAGATGACTTAACTGTATTTGAATAAATGTAGATTGTTGTATTATACTTAATAAAAATGAGACATCCCCTGAAAATAAGCCCAAGTGTGTCTTCTTGAGAAAAAATAAATATAAGACAGTGTCTTATTTTCGGGGAAACACGGTATGTAGCATCTTACTAGAGTCCACTGATCACCTTAAGTCTGGGCAGTCAATGTCACTTACTCTCCAGATTTGCCATTAATAACATGTATTATTCTAGCCATCAAAGAAGTCTGAATAAACAGACAAGATTTAATACTACCAGGAGAAAGATTTGCTTGAAGAAAGAAAAAATAATAGCAGGTCCAGTGGCTCACACCTGTAATCTTAGCACTCTGGGAGGCTGAAGCAGGAGGGTCACTTGAGCTCAGGAGTTGAGACCAGCTAGAAGTAGAGCAAGACCCTGTCTCTACAAAAAATAGAAAAAATTAGCCAGGGTGGTGGCATGTGTCTGTAGCTGCAGCTACATGGGAGGATGAGGCAGAAGGATGGCTTGAGCCATAGGAGACTGAGGTTGCTGTGAGCTATGATGATGCCACTGCAGTCTACCCAGGGTGACAGAGGGAGACTGCCTCAAAAACCAAAACAAAAGAACAAAAACTGAATCAAACCTATTGTCTTCAGTTGATAAGAGACTCTTTTAAACTTTTTTTTTTTTTGGAGACAGAGTCTCACCATGTCACCGTTGGTAGAGTACTATGCTGTCACAGCTCACAGTAAGCTCAAACTCTTGAGGTTAAGCGATTCTCTTGTCTTAGCCTCCCAATTAGCTGAGACTACAGGCGCCCGACACAATGCCTGGCTATTTCCTGTAGCAGTTGTCACTGTTTAGCTGGCCTGGGCCAGGTTTGAACTTGCCAGCCTCGGTGTACGTGGCTTGCACCGTAACCACTGTGCTACGAGTGCTGAGCTGCCTTTTAAACATTTTTAAAACTCTCTCCGGAGTATTTTCTATTTTTTTTTAATTAAATCATAGCAGTGTACATTAATACTATCATGGGGTACAGTGTACTGTTTCTGTATACAATTTGAAATACTTTCATCCAACTGGTTAACATAGCCTTCATGTCTTTTTCTTAGTTATTGTG